GACATTCCCAGGTGAAGGAAAACAAAAAATTTATTGCCGGCAGTTATACCTTTACATATTGACTAGTTACTAGAAGTTCTTCAAACAAGAAGAAAATGATGAAAGAATCTGGAAGCATCAAGGAAGGAAGAAAGAATAGCAAAAAGAATTGAAATATGGGTACATACAATAGGCTATCTGTTTCCTCATGAGTTTTATAAATCATATTTGATGATTGAAACAAAAATGAAGAGAGGTAAAGAGAGCTAAATGGATGTGAGGTTTCCATACTTCCCTCAAAGTGATAAAATGTGGATACCAGCAGACTGTGATAAGCCATGTATGTATACTAAAATCCTACAGTAACCACTACAAACCAATACAAATAGATACACTCAAAAATGGTATAAATAAATCAAGATGGAAAACTAAAAAATGTTCAGGTAACCAACAGAAAGGCAAAAAAGGAAAAACAGAGGAATAAGAACCAATCAAAAGGCAGAGATGGACAGAGTGGATTAAAAAGTTATAATGGAGGGGCACCTGGTTGCCTCAGCTGGTAGAGCATGCGACTCTTGATCTCAGGGTTGTTAGTTCGAGCCCCCTTTTGGGTGTAGAGATTACTTAAAAATAAAAGCTTAAAAAAAAGTTATATGGAACTATATGCTGTTTAAAGAAACTCACTTTAAATTCATTGATATAGGTAGGTTGAAAATGAAAAGATGGAAAAAGATACCATGTAAACATTAATTTTTTAAAAAGCAGGAGTGGCTTTTTAATATGTAATAAAGTAGACTTCAGAGCAAAGAAAATTTCTAGAGACAAAGACATATGACAAAATGGATTAATCTGTGAGGAAGACCCAATGATCTAATGTATAGCACCAAACAACAGAGCCTCAAATACATGAAACAAAAACTGATAGAGCAGAAAGTAGAAATAGACAAGTCCAAAATTATGGTTGAGGACTTCAACACTCCCCTCTGAGCAACTGATAGAACTACTTGACCTGACATCAGCAAAGATATAAAAGATTTGAACAATACCAGCAATAAATAGGATCTAATCAATGTATTATAGAACATTCCACCACTAACAACAGAAAACACATTTTTTCAACTTCATGTGGAACATTTACAAATACCTGGGGTCATAAAACAGAACTCAGCAACTTTTAAGAAATTGAAATCATACAGAATATGATCTCTGACCCTTATAGAAACAAACTAGAAATTAACAACAGAAAGACAAGAAAATCTCTAGATGTGCAGAAATTGAATGACACATTTCTAAATAATCTATGGGACAAAAGTCCCGAAGTTTAAAACTACAAAGAACTGCATGAAAGTGAAGATGTAGCATATGAAAATTTGTGGGATACAGGCAAAGCAGTTCTAAGAGGGAAATTTATTTTACTAAATGTATTAGAATAAAAGGGAGGTCTTGAGTCAGTAACCCAAGCTCTTACCTCAAGAAATTAGAAAAAGACAAGCAAAATAAACCCAATACAAGCAGAAGGAAGAAAATAGTTAAGGAGCAGAAATCAATGAAATTGAAAACAGAAAAGCTATAGAGAAGGCCAATGAAATCAAAAGCTGGTTCTTTAAAAACATCAGTAACATTGATAAACTTCTAGCAAGACTGACAAAGCATAAAAAAGAGGATGTGTAAATTATCAATATTAGAAATGAAAGAGAGAATTATCATCACAAACCCTACACACATTGAAAGATAATGCTATGAGCACTTTAATTCAGCCACTTAGATGAAATGAACAAATTCATCAAAAACTGCCAACTATCAAAACTCACCAAGGATGAAATAGATGACCTAAATAGTCCAGAACTATGAAAGAAACTGAATTCATAAAACCTTTCCTAAAAAGAATCTCCTGATCCCGACGGTTTCATTTAGTGAATTCTGCTAAACGTTTCAAGAATCAATACAAACTCCAAACAGTCTTTTCCAGGAAATAAGGGAGAATGTTTCCCAATGTATGATACCAGCATCATCCAAATGCCAATATCAGACAAGGTGGTTATACAAAAAGAAAATTACGGCTCAGTATCCATCATGAATACAGATGTAAAGGTCCTCTATGAAATATTAGCAAATCAAATCCAGTGATACATAGAAAGAATAATTCATCTAAGAGGAGTTTATCCCAGGAATGTAAGGCTGGTTCAATATTTGAAAATCAATCAATGTAATCCACCATATTGACAGTATAAAGAAAAAAACCCACATGATCATATTAATTGATGCAGAAAAATAATTTGAAAAAAATCAACATCATTTATGATTAAAAAATATAACTGTCAGTGAAGTAGGAATATAAGGGAACTTTCTCGACCTGATGAAAGGCATCCATGGTGGGGAGAAACAACTGATTATATCATACTTAATGGTGAAAGACTGGATGCTTTTCTGAAAAAATCATGAACAAAACAAGGATAACTATTCTTATCACTCCTATTCATCACTGTATTAGAAGGCCTACACATTGCAATAAGGCAATTTTTAAAAGTATAAAGATTGGAAAATGAAGGGGAAAAAACAGTTCCTATTTGCAGACAACAAGATAGTCTGAATAGAAAATCCATAAGGAATCTATTTTTAAAAAAACCTCTTAGGACTAATAGGTGAGTTTAGCAACAGATCAGTATATCAGGTCAACACATAAAAATCAATCATATTTCTATATGCTGGCAATAAAAAATTGAAAACCAAAAATTTGTTGAATACCATTTTAATAGCTTTAAAAATGAGATATGAAATAAAAATGAAAATGAAACAAAACATATATTGAGAACCATCAAACACAAAGGAAATCAAAGAATCACTAAATAAAGTGAAGAGATATACCATGTTCATGTATTGGAAAACTCAACATAATAAAAATGTCAGTTTTCTCCCAAACTGATCTATAGATTTGGTACAATTCTATCAAAATTCCAGCAGGATTTTTTTAGATATAGACATGCTAATTCTAAAACCTTTATGGAAGGGTATATAAAATAATTTTAAGGAAATAATAAAGTTGAAAAAATCTCTCTGATTTAATGATTTATGATAAAGTTACAGTAATCAAAATATTGGTAAATGTGTCTTATATGCATTCTACGAAGAATTTCCCTTTATTTGTGTCTGTTTTAGCCAGCAGTTGACCAAGTTGATTACTTCTTCTTCTTTTTTTTAAGTTGTATTGATTTAAGTAATCTCTACACCCATCGTGGGACTCGAACTCACCCCCCCAAGATTAAGAGTCACACGCTCTGAGACGTCAGGTGCCCAGACCCAGCTGCTTTCAATCTTCAGCAAGTTTCAGCCAGTGTTCTGTGGATTGTCATTCCACTGTCAGCCCAGTTTCCATAGGCTTTGCTGTGCTATTTGGAGCAGTTCTGACTGTGTGCCAACTAGTGTCCAGTTTAGGATTTGAGTGGTGGTCTGTCCCATCGTTCCATCCTCAACATCTGTGATGTACTGTTTAGGGTCAGAACGATGTGTAACACAGCTTGGGGGTAAGCCTAAGAATTCATAAATAACTTGATTTTTTTTTTCCTGAGCTTTTCCCTTTTCGTGATCTCCCTTGTCTTTGTTGGTTCCTTTGGGGGTTTTTTGGTCCTCAAGTCAGAAAACTTTATTTACCCTGCCCTGCTATACTCTGGCCATGACTGCCCCTATTATCTCCGGCCAAGCAACATGAGGACTGAGCGAGTATAAAGTTATTTTAGGTTCTTATGAGATGCTGATGTCACTGCTGCTGCCTCAGTCACAGGATTCCTTGGGGGCTGGGACACAAGAGAATGGAGGGAAAAAAAGAAAACAACAAAACATGGCTTTCCTCCGCTCTGTGTCTTTCCTGTTTCTCAAGAGGGCTTCTCCTTGAGCTCTCTCTGTGCTGATGCCACTTCCGGGATTTTGCGCTATGTCTAGTTCGGCTTGGAGAATACTGGAGAAAAATAAAAAGATAAACTCACCATCTGTTCAGTAATTCCAGAGACCTTCTCGGATCTTCCTGCTACCATTTGCTTTTCAGAGTCTTCAAGTAGCTGTTGAATCCTGTCCAGGTTTGACGGACTGTATTCAGTAGGAGAAACAGGGTTAAATGTGCCTATTCCATGTTACCTGGAATGAGAATACATGTCATTGCTTTTGTTCAACTCATAAATTAATGAGGGAACCAGTAAGATGTTAATATTGGTCCAAAGGACATTTGAGGAGCTAGGGATTTATATCCAATTCAATTAAATAATGTTAGAAAAAGATGGCTGAGTTACATTGAAAAAAACAAAACAAAAACTGGTTACCATCCTACAGGACAATGAACAAAAAAATCTGGCCATATCTTCTCCATTGACAGAAATAATTTGCATCTCTACTAAACACTTACATGTTAGCTAGCAAATTCTCTAAGTTTGAAACGATTAATTCATAGAATATTTTAATTAAACAATATCTTTACAAAGTACATTCCAGTTTTCCTAAGTAAAGAACTAAGTACATTTCCGTATAAAAACTTTAGGTAAGTTTTACCCCTGCATGACATAAAAATTCCATGCTAGCCTTATTTTGTTTTGCCTTTTTTCCAAGTTTTGGGTCATTTTTCTTAAAAACAGTGATTCAAATTCTTCTTGCAGAAGGTCTCACCCGAAGCAAGAGATGATGTAAGATTGGTTTACACTCCCTGAGGAGGCAAACTATTTTTTCCCAATTCAATAAATGTTTATTACATACCTACTATGCACCAGACATCTGGCTAGGCAATTGTACGCAAGACCAGTATATGATTTTCGTAATATGTATCAATCATGTTGTGTTCTCTTGACAGTTAATTTCTCTTACATAATATAGAAACCATAAAACTCTATCGTTGTCATTAAAAATTTGAAAACTGCACATGATACACGGTCGTTAAGGTATAAAATACTCTTATTTCTGGGGTGCTCTTCAGACGAACTCGAAGCACAGTTAGTGCCTATTCATTTTGTGACTTTGATTGCTGCCATTTCCTCTCAAAGGAAAGGCCGAGGGAAAAAAGAAGAGGAAAAAGTGAAGGAGGAAGAGGAGGTTGCAACAGCCCCAAAATTGGCTGGAGAAGGGAGCCCCGATAAAGAATGGTACCCTCCCTCCGACCCGGACTTCTGTGTTTATGTATATGAAGTGACCAAGTCAATATTTCCTATAACCAATATTAAGGAGCAGATTGAGGCTCTTGCAAAGTAAGTGGTCTCTATATACATAGGCATTTTAAGTTTCTGAAGCAAAGTTTTTTATTTTAGTGGTTTGCATTTCTTAGCCCATTTTCAGCTAACGACACCATAATTACTGCCCCCCACTTCTGACCCTGAAGCAGAAACATAATAAATTGAAAAAAAATGCCCAATTTCTGTTTTAGGTCCTATTTCTGCCAAGAATCAGAGCTAGGAGCTGAAAATTACTTCAAGAAAAACGCTTTTGTCATTTTCTCCAGCTAAACCATTAAAGGCATTGTTCAATGTGATCCTGAAGAAGTTAGGAATGAATCAAAAGTTTGAAAATTAAATTACTCCAAAAATAAAAAAAGAAAGAAAGAAAATTAAATTACTCCTTAGGTACCTGGGGTGCTCACAATTTAACGAAGCGTATTGTGAATTCTTTGTAAACTCACAAATTATTTTCTTCTTTTAATTTTTTCAATTTGAATTCAATGAATTAACATATAGTGTATTATCAGTTTCGGAGGTAGAGTTCAGTGATTGATCAGTCTTCTATAACACCCAGTGCTCATTCCATCACGTGTGCTCCTTAATGCCCATCACCAGGTTACCCCATCCCCACAAATTCTTTTCTAATACAAATAACCATCACTATTTTTAGGTCAGACAGATGTCTGATATTTTGCGTTTTGCATTGCTCTCAAGTGTGGTTGTGAGCATTTTAAGGGGTGGCTGTTTGGGCAGGCTAGACGCTCTGTGTGAGCCAGTGATGTTGCCTTCTTAATTAGAGCATTTAATGTGAGTCCACTAAGAGAAATCTGAGAACTTGACTTGGTAGCTGTAAGGGATTAGGAATCGCAGGAAGTGGTGGGTGGCCTCCGTAACTGGCACCGACAACCAGTAAGTGAGCTACTGGATCCTGCAACAGCTGTAGTCTCCATGGGAGCTTGTGTCTATTCCAAGTAGCAGTGCATTGCACTCATCAAACCTGGATGTGACAACTGCAAGAAACACAGCCGCCAGATCATTGACTTCTTGTCAGCCAGAACTGGAAGAGAACATTTTTGGCGACTGAAGTTTTCCTGATGTCCTTGAGAAGTGATGACTCGAGCAGAACTCTGATTTAGCTCATTTCAGCATTTGTCAAATGTCCTCATGCTTTGTTCCTATCAGAAATACTTTTCATCATTCCCAAATAATTGTTTTTTTAACCTGAGCCCTTTTCGAGGTGAGATCCAGAGATTTGTCCCCGTGCCTTTGGTTCCTCGCATTCGGGGGGGTTGGTGCGACAGCTCTCTCCCTGCCCCTTTCTCTGTTTTTTGACGTTGTTCTTCTTTGCTTGATCCTACGTACAGCAAGAGGAAATTCTTTCTTAAAATTTGCAATTCTGCCTTTACTCCAAGATGTAGTAGCCTTCATCAGTCGACAGAGGATTTTTGCAGGTGTGTTTACTGACTTCTTCAGGGAGAGCCTCAAATGAGGAGGAAACCCCTAGGCAAATTATACCACCCAACTTCTTTAGTTTTCCTTCTGCCCCCTTCCTCTCTCCTCTCACTTCAGGGTTACATAAATGCCTCTAATTAAAAAAATAAAAATACAAATGAGACAACTTAAAAGGAAAAACTTATAGAACTTGAAAATATTTGGGAATCCAATGGGAAAATTTCCTATGTGTTCATATTATCTCTGAGTTCAAATTCCTTAAAAGAAGGACCATATGTTAGTACAATGCCTTGGATTTCAGATTGAAACATTTGAAAATACTTTTCAAGAGCAAGATAGAACTTTAAGACTGCACTGATACAAATTTAGTGTGATATTGATTTGTATCTTGTTATAAATATTGAAATTAACATTTATTTCTTCCTTTGTGTTGAATGAAATTGTTAGAATTTCAGTTTATACGTGAGAGTTTGAAGACAGTAGGCATAATGTTAACACGCTTATAGTAAGTTTAAAGAGTAAAGCCAATAATAAGAATCAGAGGAAATATAGTTTTCACACATACAGTTATACTCAAAGCATCCAAAACGAGATATTAAACTTGACTGATTTGATCTCAATGTAATTGACATAGGTATGTGGCAGAAAAAATGGGCGGTAAAGTTTCAAAAGAGAAACTACATGATTTCAGCTGGGAACTTCATATAAGTGAACTAAAATTTCAACTCAAATCCAATGTTATACCAATTGGACTGATCAAAAAAGGAATCTTCTACCATCGAGCTTTGCTTTTCAAGGTACTTAAGATGTTTTGCCTCGCTTGCCAGTAGGTACAAATGTTTGTCATTATCATAATGGTGAGAACATTTAACTGGCTAATATTAATCCTATCATTTAGAGTTACTTCTATTTGAGATATATATGTACGTGTATATTTGCTTCTATCGGAAGCATATTCATTCAAAATTTATCATACATCTACTATAGGCCAAGGGCTCTTCTAAGGTCTGGGAATATAGAGATACTAAAGTGGCAGCCCCTACCCCAAGTGCCTAAGTCTGACTTGTGGGTTCTAAGGAGATGTCAGGGAAAGTTTCAGGGGATGAAGCGATATGCAGCCTGAGTATTAGAGGCTAAGTAGGATTTCAGCAGGTAAAGAAGGAAGACAAGAGCATTCTAAACAAAGCAAACATTTTATACCAAATAACAGGAATGAGAGCCCCTGGTCCATCTGAGGAGTGTAGCATAGTTTGTCTGGATGAAGGAAGAGGCGGGTTGGATGAGGCTAAGGGCCAGATCACAAAGCTCTGTGTGAGTTTGCACTTGATCCTAAAATCTGTGAGTAGCCACTGAATGTTGTTAAGGGGAAAGCAGCAACATGATTTTGAAAGACCGTTCAGGCAACAGAATGGGGAATCAATTAGAGCAGGGGCAGGACTGGAGACAGGAAGACCAACTGGAAGGTCATTGGAGCAAGAAATACGGGTGACCTTTATTAAAGCCATAGCCGTGAGGACGTGGAAGAACATGTGAATTTACAGGGAGATTTAAAACAGTTGGTGTCTGCCCAGGTGTGGTATGAGGGACTGCATGAGAAGAACAAAGTGATTTTCAGGTCCTGGGCGGGGCAACTGGTAATGATGGTATTCTTCACTGAGACGGGGACACTAAAGAAGGATCAGATACGAGAAAGAGGGGGTGAATTTTTTCTCCATTGTGTCAAGTGTCTGGAATATAATAGGAGCTGCAAAAATGGTTTCTGAACTATAGACTGAATGTATAAGATTCCTATCCCCTCCCAAATACCTACAAACCTCTTTACATCCATGTATATCTTGCTTCCAGTTCTAAGCGAATTCTATCTCTAATCCAAATGCCAACCTTCCATATTTTCTTGTATTTCTTGCTTTATCAAATTTTCTCCTTCTTAAATCTCTTTCTCTCTATTAGCTGTTTTTCCTTTAAAATCGAAACTTAAGTCTCTACTAATTAAAGAGGAAATAGAAATCTTTTCTCATCATAGCTACAACTACTCCTATAGCTCCTATTACCATGACCACCGTCATTTTGAGCTACGTGTCAAGCACCTGATAAATGCAATTGTGAAGAGTCTCACAAATGCCGAAGGTTGAAATTACTACCCTTGTTTGAAAGACAAGAAAACCGAACTCAAAGAGAGAATTTACCCAAGGTCAGCCAGAGGCCCAGCTGGAACCCGTACCCATGCCTATCTGAATCAAACCTAACACATTGCTTCTATCTGTAGATAATTCTCATTCCAGGTCAAAATTCAAAGTAATCTCAGCACCTTAGTCATCTCAGTCCCTCCTTAGCACGCCTCATTTTTCTCCTCTGCCCGTTGCAGCCTGGCCTGAGCTCCCTGTCTTACTTGATATGTCAAAGAATTTGTCACTGATCCTTCTCATCCCTTGACACCACTCTCTTTAGTAACTTTTGCCCTCTCTTTCACCTCATCTCAGTCGCCTTTGGTGACCTCTTTTCCTCGCCCCCCTTCAATATGGGGGTCCCTCACGGTTCCAACCCAGACTCTTTTCTCACTTTATGTACTTCATTCGGTGCGGTCCTCCTGTCATGTGGCCTTAAACACTAACTAACTGCCTAGGGCGCCCAGATTCTTTCCTCTGTCCCACAAACCTCGCCTGATTCCTGATCTGTTTGCGCTCCAGCTGGCTGCACCCGAGTATCTCCTAGGCACTGTATCAGTGTGCTCATGCTGCTGTCTCAAAATACCATACACTGGGGGGCTTAAACAGTAAACATTTATTTCTCACAATTGCGGAGGCTGGGAAGTCTAAGATCGAGGTTCCAGTGGAGTCAGCATCTGGTGAGGACCCTCCTCCTGGTTTCAGTGGCCACTTTCCACCTCTGTCCTCACATCCCGGACAGACAGGAGGCTCTGATCTCTTCCTCCTTTTACGAGAGCATTAATCCCGCAGTGGGGGCTCCATGTTCATGACCTCCTCTGAACCTAACTACCTAAAGACCCACCTCCCAATATCACCCTACTGGGGATCAAGGTTTCATCATATGAACTGGGGTCGGGGGGGAGACACGAACATTCAGTCCATCTCATTATGCCGAACTGAATCTATTACCCTCACACCTGCGCCAAGTCACACAATTCATTAGCTGGGTCTTGCCCACCCCCGACGGCCTGACCACTAAGACCAATGATCAAAACTTTTATCCTTCCACCCTCCTAAATTGTTCACTCCTATGAATACTCTTCATCCTCCCTATTTTCTTCCAGTTTGTTGCCTCTTTTTTGGCTTTACTTTCCCCCCTTGGCAGCCTAGATGAATTATCCTTAGACCGTATAATTGGCTCACTAACTTCCCCCACTTTCTTGACCCCATCTGTCCTCCCCACTGCCTTGCCAGTCCCCCCAGGGCCAGTCGGATTGCTTGCCCTTTCCACTGTGATGCTCGGGCTACGGAACTTGACAGTGGGGAGTGCCACAGCCGCGTCAGTGTGCCCAACTCATGTGGACAGTCATTTGGCCTGGCCACTCTTTTCCAGCTCCTGGTCACAGGCTTTTCCTTTTCCCGCAGCAGCTCTGCGCCACGTCTGTCTGTCCTACTAACACTTTCATCTCTGCCTCTTGCTCTAAGCAGACGACCTTGTTTCGCACTTTGCAGAGAAGATGGAGACTTTCAGCTGGGAGCTCATTCAACTCAGTGGGAGGCAGTATCACCCTGAGGTTAGGAACTCAGACTCTGGCGATAGATTCCCTGGCTTCCACATTAGGTCACCACTTACAGTGACTTTCTTCAGGAAAATGATCTGGCCTCAGTTTTACTCTCCATAAAATGGGAAATGCAATCGTTACCTATTTCACAGGATTATTTTGATGATTTAAAGTGCCTTGACATGGAGTTAAGAGAGCAATAAATATTATTTCAGAGAACATGTTTATTTTTGACTCTCTACCCCACTAGACGATGAGTATAAGAGGATTCTTGTACCAATTCCAGTGCGGGGAGGTGTGGCAGGCCCAGGGGTGAGGGGAGCAGGTTTTATACATCCAGCCAATCCTCAGACATCAGCTAGGTCAATGCAACTCAATTCTGACACTACCCACCTGGGGACAGTGTCAGACCCCACAGGTTACGGGCTCACTCCTGCAACACTGCTCCCTCCCTCCACACAAACTTCAGCCAACCAGTCACAAGCCCCGGCTGTCATCTGTGCTTCTGAGCAGCCGGCTATAGATTGGAGGTTCCCAAGAACACAGCCCCCTTAGGGTTGATTAATTTGCTAGAGGGGCTCACAGAACTCAGAAACATTTTACTTACTAGATCACCCGTTTATCATAAAAGGATATAAGTCAGGAACAGCCAGATGGAAGAGATGCATAGAGAAAGATAGGGGGAGAAGGCTTGGAGCTTCCGTGCCCTGCTCCAGGTGCGCCAGTCTCCCTGAAACTCCACGGGGTCACCAACCCGGAAGCTCTCCGAACCCTTGCCTTTTGGGTTTTCAGGGAAGCTTCATTTCATAGTCATGATTGATGAAATCATTGCCACTGGGGGCTGATTCAACCAGCAACCCCTCTCCCCTCCCCAGGTTCAGGGTGGGACTGAATGTTGTAACCCAATCATAAGATTGGTTCCCCTGCCTAACAGCCCCCATCCTTAAGTGCGGTCCAGAAGTCACCTCATTAACATAAGGAGAGACATTTTTATGGTTCTCATCACTTAGGAAATTCCAAGGGTTTAGGAGTTCCGTGCCAGAAATGGGACAAAGACCAAATGCGTATTTCCTATTATAAATGACAATACCACAGAATGCCATCCATGTGGATTCTGTTGTATTCTAGTTGACTGTTTACCAGGCAGGCTCAGACTTGATAGGATGAAAGGCTCTAAAAGTGACAACCATGTCTTAATTATCTTGGTCCACCCAAGAAAGTCTACCTTGGTGAAGTCAATACATAGTAGGTAATCAATAAATCACATTAATATACAGATGGATTTTTAAAACAACACAATTCTTGTCTTCTACTAGGAACACCTATTGAGTACCTACTCTGTGCAGCATTCATAGCTCTAGGCCCTTGACACGTATTCATTCCCTTCATCTCCATAACCACCCTGCTAGGAAGGAGGTTCGACTGTTGTTTTCCTCATTTCTCAGATGAAGAAATGGAAGTACAGGAGGCTGAATCATTTGCCTGAGGTGACAATAACTAGTAAGTGGCTGAGCTGAAATTCAAATCCAGGCAGTCTGAGCAGCTCTCTTAATCCACTACGATGTGGCTAAGAAGTTTCCAGATTATTTTAAAGGTACTTTTTAAATAACTTCAAAATCAGGACAAACTGAAGAGAGCGCTTCCAAGGAACATACACCACTCCGGAGGAAGTGGCATCAGGTATCCCAAGAAGGGCCGACCCCCTGCTCACGGCAGCATCCCCGTCACACAGAATAAATCGGCAAGAAAGAGGTCCCCACCAATTTGATCCCTCCATTCAATCCCACTGCATAGCACACCCACAGAGCAACCTAGAAGCATGGAAAGATTGATAGATGCGGTAGTGCTGAAAGCCCGTGGAATAGCTATTCTCCAATGACGTTATCAATCTTGTGCTGATACAATGCAGTGTAACTGCCTGAAAAATGTCACTTCCCAGCAGGACCTACACAGAGATTTTGAGTCTACAGGATCTTGGGGAACAAGGGAACTTATCACATTTTATTGGTTCCTATTACGATATTCCACATTTTTTTTTCCAGCCTCCTTTCTAAGCACTTCTTTGCAAGAGTTGTGTATTTCCCTTTCAACAAGGTGGGTCTTCCAGCTAAGGATTTTTCTCCGCCCCTCTCGCTCCTCACTTTTGGTTGATCTTGTGTTTTCTCCCACAGGCGCTGGCTGATAAAATTGGCATCGGCTGCTCTCTGGTTCGTGGGGAGTATGGCAGAGCCTGGAATGAAGTTAAGTTGATGAATGAATCTCGTAAGGGACTGATTGGGGCTCTCCCTCCCCCTGAGGTGTATATCGTTGACCTCATGTTCCATCCAGGCGCGTTGATGAAGTTAAGAAGTAAAGAGGCAGATCTTTACAGATATCTCTAAGCTATCAAGTGAACAAAAAGGGGTTCACACAAGAAGTGCATTATATACACTTCTTAAGAAGTTCACCAATTGATTTTATTTCTTTAAATAAAAGTATTAGAAATGTTCTCTCTGTGTAGAAATGAGGACACTTGGATTGAACTTGGTGGTGGTTCTGATTTCAGGCTCTTGGCAAGAGTTCAGTCTGATTAGATCCTATTATGCTCACTGTCCCTCATGTAAAGTTTATTATTGTCGAAATTAATCCACGCTACTGTTTCCTGAGGAGCCTCTCTGCCCTTTGGGAATCATGTGGTAAAGCACCCAGCTGCTGGCCACTGTTCCCAGGACAATACCTCACGCCTGTCATTCTTCACACCCAGAATGGTTCAGGAACACTTGGTTAAATAAACTCAGTAGTATTTTTTTTTAAAGATTTTACTTATTTATTTGACAGAGAGAGAGACAGCGAGAGAGGGAACACAAACAGGGGGAGGGGGAGAGGGAGAAGCAGGCTCCCCGCTGAGCAGGGAGCCTGATGCAGGACTCTATCCCAGGACCCTGGGACCATGACCTGAGCCGAAGGCAGACGCTTAATGATTGAGCCACCCAGGCGCCCCGTAAACTCAATAGTATTTTATGTCTTCAGTCACCTTGTCCCACTTTCATAAAGTCAGATTATTGATGGCTCGAATATGTATAGATCGATTTTAGTATTACAAATTCCTTTCTAAAATTTTTTTGTTCACACTTAAAACAACGTATTATTAAGAACACCATCTAATATACTTCACTGAACTAAAAATCTTTCTAAAACCCATTCCCATAAACTGTGTTTGTCTTTGGTCCTGTCTTTGTCTTTACTTGAAGATATACCTCCAGTTAAAAACAATTCTGATTTGCTTTTACACAATTTCATGCTGGGTCACAAAAATAATTGTTTTGAATTTATGTAGCCTCAAAATTCTTTTTGGAAAATTTTAGATATAGAAAGAGTAAATCTTTGTGAGGAAATTGTGTTTTCAGTATTGAGAATGAAACAGGGAGCAAACACACATTTTTTAAAAGATAAATAAAAACTAGTAATATGATGACTCTCAAAGTATATATATCCTAGCCTGACTTTAAGTCTAAAGTTTACTGTAATCATTTTACTAGAAGGTTTTCAAAAGTCAGATTGATTTTAGAAATTAAGGCTGAGATGATTCTATACAAACCGATGTGTAACTTCAAAGAATTTGTATTTCCTTATTTCAAAATAAAGTTCTTTATATCAAATGGTGTGGTAATTATATTTATCATGCAATTTCGTGAACTGGAGCATGGATTATACCCGTCTAAGCATTTTCAACTCTGTTTTGATCCAGAACACATTTGAAGTGGATTACAAAGATATGTAAGATGTAACAAGATAAAAATAAATGAAAAACAGGCGTAAATGTTGGAAAGAAAGTTCAACAAGGCCAGGCATAAGCTTAGAATTTGAATGCATCCATGAAAATCCCATGCATATGTTAGCAGTGGGTGAAAATTTGACGCTAAGCTCTCTAGCAGACAATGCAGTGGGAAATGCTATCAGTTACATGATTTATAATAGGGTCCGCTAGCTAAAAGCACAAAGCAGTTTCTCAGGAGGAACAAAGACCAGGGGGATTCCTCTTTGGGAGCTTCATACAGATGACAAATGTAATATAGAAAATAACATTGTTGAAAAACAACCTCCTAGTAAGTTCTGAAAAGGGTTTTTGTAGGCAATGGCCTAACAGCAAAATGGAATGAAGCAAAAGTTGCATTCAGAGCCACTGTGCTGCGGTTCAGGTAGACATGACATTCTTCAGTCTGGTCCAAGCCAAGGCCCATCCCCCTCCCCTTTTTTCATCTTAGAAACATTTGTGTATTATGTCTCTCTCAACTGGCTTCTAGGTAATTATTGTGCAGGTTTGAGTTTAAATTCTCTTTTTAGACAGTTCTTCGAAGTTATCTACGTTGTGTTACCGAAAGCCAATACATTCACAATAGCAACACAAAGTATAAAGTACCTAGAAATAGATTCAATAAGAAATACACAAGGAAAACTATAAAATTTTAATGAGATCTGAATAAAGGAAGATACACATCATTTTCCTTGATGGAAACTCAACAATATAAAGACTTCAGTGCTCCCCATATTAATATACACATTTAGTATCTCATTTAGAATCCCAGTGCATTTTCTTTTCTGAAACCTGACAAATAGTAAACTTTATCTGGAAGAATGAATACATGTGTATGCCAATAATATTTGCAATAAAAAAATGAAGAAGAATTGGGTCCATTATATATCAGAACATATATTAAAAAGCAGTAAGAAATTAGTATGGGATGGGCATAAAAATAGAACAATATTAAGAGTGCAGAAACAGATTGGATATATATATATATATGGATTTTATATATGTGTGTATGGAGATATATATATATATATATATATATATATATATATATGGATTTAGTAATATATATATATATATATATACCAGGAGCAGGGCACGATAGCCTATTCAGTAAATGACTATGGGAAAGTTATTACCTTGGCAAAGGAACATCCTCTCTATTTCTGACAGATAAACTAGAAGCCATAGAGGAAAATATCTGACAAGTCTGGCTCTGTAAAACTTTAAATTCCTGTTCAGAAAAATACAGCATAAGCAAAAATATTTCTGTTCGGCAAAATAAAATGTAAGCAAAATCATAGGGAGGAAAACATTTGCAACACACGTAACAGACACCATGTCAATATCCTTAACAAACAAAGAGTTTCTGTAAACCAATGAGGAAAAGATAATTCACCTGGAGAATAGTCAAAGACAGCAGTATTTAAGTAAGACATCTATATAGTGGCAATAAACCCCAGATTTCTGATCTCAGTAGCTTGTCTTTTGTCACATTACATGTCAAACCCAGGTCGGTAGAAGGGGCTCTGCTTCACATAGTCACCCAAGGACCCAGGCTAACAGCAACCCCTCTGTTTTGTAGCAGCACTATCTGGAATACAGGACCTTCTAAGCCACTACAGTGGGAGGAGAAAAGGCCGAGAATCTCCTTCAGGAATTACATGCTTTGGGCTGACATAACGTGTGATTTGGTCAGAACTAGACCTGGGAAATATGGGTTAATGTCTGGAACCAAGAAGATCTGAGTGAGAATCCTACCCTGTTACCTAAATAGTGTGCAAACTCTGGCAGCTGTTGTGGTTGTGAGGTTTCAAAACAATTTCTATAAAGTAGCTTGTTGTTACTCTGTCAGAATCAAAGGCCTCAGTGTGTATACTCACATATGTACACATCCCTTCCTGCCCCTAATCACACGGCCGTCTGTCATTTGCATGATGGTCTTATTTCATCTCCACAGTAGGGTTATTAGGCGTATAGATTTGGGAGCAGAGCCTCTGGTGACAAATTCGGTCCAAATTGAAAATTTGGCTCCTTAGTAGCTGAGTGATTTTTGGATAAGTCATTTAACTTCTCCGAGCCTCAGTTTTGTTACTTGCGAAATTCCTAAACAACATAGTGTCCATGGAACGATTATACAAAGGCTTAAAATAGCCTCTGACACAGTAAACAATATGCAAATATTTCTTATTTTCCAGAAGAGTAAACTGAGGGCCAGAGGGGTTAAGTACTTCTGTTAAGGTCATAAAGGTAGAAAAAGGTAGATGCACAACTTAATTTCAGCTCTGACTCTAAAATCTGGGCCTTTACCATTGTTATTATATTGCCTCTCAATATTAAAGGCCTATAGAATTCGTAGATAAAATCATAATAGAATTTACCCTTTCCAACCATACTTAATATTTGTAAAATTGTGATTTGTGGGTTGTTTATTGGCAGATCCTACAGATCTCTTGTCCTGTCTGAGTTCTGCAAGAACCTTATTTGAATTCGTTATATATTCCCACCTGACGCTTTGATGGCGATCTTTTGAAGTCAAGTCCACTTTTATTATTAAAATAATTATATACATGATTTTAAGAGCACAAGCCTAAGCAAAGCTTTTGCCAGTTATCTATATGACAATATTCAGGTCATTTTAATGAAAGAATAGTACTTTTAAATATTCAACTGTAGATAAGTGATTTGTTACTATTGCATTGCTTTAAGAATCTACCCCCAAACAGTGATATTTTCCATATAATTTTCCATATAATTTTCATAGAGTCAGTTGATCCTACCCTTAGTAGTGCTGAGCTAGAGGGGGGAAAAAAAGCAATTATCACCATCAGTATGTGTATTCCAGCCTTTCTGAAAAAAATGCTAAAGGAAAATGCACCATCTCCCCAAACTCCCTAAGTCGTATCTCCACATTACTCCTTTGGCAGAGGAATAACATGGTAATATCTTGTGTGTGTACAAGTGTGTATGTGCCTGTGTTTACAGCTCTGTTGTCTATTTTTCTTTTTAAAGATTTTATGTATTTATTTGACAGAGAGGTAGAGCCAGAGAGCACAAGCAGAGGGAACGGCAGAGGGAGAGGGAGAAGCAGGCTCTGCACTGAGCAGGGAGCCCGATGCAGGACTCGATCCCAGGACCCCGGGATCATGACCCGAGCCGAAGGCAGACGCTTAACCATCTGAGCCGCCCAGGCGCCCCACAGCTCTCTTTTCTATCCTCACATAATGTTCTGTTCATACCTCTTCAGCACATTTTGGGGGAATTCTTTATTCTACATGGGTCTGTTTATTCCTTCAGATCAGAGGTCACCAAGTGTTTTCTGTAAAAGGCCAGACAGTAAATATTTTAGGCTTTGCAGGCCATGGAGTCTCTGTTGCAACCATTCAGTTCTGCTATTGTAGCATAAAAACAGCCGCCGATAATGCCTAAACCATAGAAATGCACTTACCGAAAAATGTGTGGGCTGGATTTGGCTCATTGTCCAGTTTGTCAACCCATGCTTTCAGTCATGAGCATTTTGAGGGTATGGACATGGAAATAGTTGTAGTTTACTTAGCCTCGTCTCTGAGCACCTGGCTAACATTCAAGGGAGCCCCCCTCTACACTGCCATTTTGTCTTCCTTTGTTTCTTTAGGCTCTAAGATGTACCTACTTGATATTAATCCAACGGACGCCAAAGCAGATTTATATAT